CTACCAGACTCAATCTGTTCATCTTAGGAAATCTTGTAAAAAATTGATATAGAATTAATTCCTAGACTCTCACTGTTTTCACAGAGATTATAGTTAACTTTAATAAAACTTATTTTATTGCATCATGTGCCATTCCCTATATCTTTTTTTTTCCCATTGAAGTGAGAGTTCCTGATATAGAGGCACTGTATGAGATTTTACTTTTTATCTTTTGCACTTAGCAAAATAACTTGCACAAGACAGTGTTCACTAATGAAATAATGCTATATTCTCATGATTTCCTATTGACACAATGAATTTACGTTTGAGGCCTATAGCATGGATTATTTTTCTTTAAATTAAATCTGTTTTCTCTCAAAGGCTTATGAAGTCTTACTCATCATTCACGATTTTGCTTACTATAACACTGCTATGCTTTCTTTTAAATGTATCATAATTTTAGCTTCTATATTTACGTTTATGAGTCATTTCAAATTAACTTTTGTTTCAAATGGATCAAGAAGAGGGGATTTATTTTTTCATCTATTATTTATTTGGTTGTTCCAATACACCAGTTGCTGAAAAGTTTTTTTTTTCTCCAGTGAATTACATTGTTGCCTGTCAAAAATAATTCAATTGTATCTATGCAGAGCTATTGCTGGACTCTCCTTTTTTTCTGCATCTATTTGTTTATCTTATGCCAGTATCACAGACTTGGCTGGTGTAGCTTTACAATAAGTCTCGAAGTCAGATGGTACAAATCCTCAAATTTTCTTTGTTTTTTAATAATGTTTGACTGTTCTATCTAGGTTTATTATATTTCTATAGAAATTTTAGCATTTGTTTTTCAGTAATGGTAGAAAAGCCTGCTCAGATATTGATTGAAATTGCATACTGTCTTTAAGTTGGGGATAATTGATATCTTTACAATATTTATTTAGGTCATCTCTAAATTTTCTCAGGAAGTCTTCTAGTTTGCAGAGTAGAGGTCTTACTCAACTTTCATTAGCTATGGTCCTAAGTGGTGTATTTTTGGTAATATTATGAATGATTCTGATTTTTAAATTTTATTTTACAATTTTTTTGCTAATTTTTAGAAATAAAATATATTTTTGTATTGATCCTAAATCCTGAGACCTCGTAGAATTTACCTATTACATCTAGAATTTTTAATATATTAATTTTTCTAAATGTAAATAATTTTGTTGTCTGAGAAAAAATATACTTATTTTTTCCTCCCTTGTTACTTCTCCCTCTTTCTTCTTTGGCCCTTTGCTCACTCTCTTTCTTCCTTATTTTTACTTTAAGGCAATAACTAGGACCTTTAAAAATACAATGTTGAATAAAAATGGTAAAAACAAAAAAAGTATACTTACCTTTCCTTGTCTCCAATCTTAGTGTTGGTGCATGTCTAATATTTCATCAATAAGTGTGATGTCAGCTGAAAGTTACTCAGAGATAAATCAAATTTTTTAAATTGAGAGTTTTATTTCTAGATCCTGAGAAATTTTACCATTAATGAGTGTTAGATTTTGTCTGATGCTTTTTTGCATCTGATAAACAACAATGTGATTTATCTTTTTTATTCTTGTTAATGTGATACATTACAGTCATTGATTTCTGAATGTTAATATAACCTTGAATTCTTGGCATAAACTTCAGTTAACTAGGATATATTTTCTAATTACACATATGTTAGATTGCCTTGTATTTTCCCACTGATAATTGGCTTTCTGATCAGTTACTTTTATTTTTTTTTCCCACTGTACTTCCTTTAAGATAACATCTATTGACCTGTCTTTAATTCATCGATTGTTTCTTTTTCAGTTTATTTCTCGTGTTAATCTCATTTTGTATTACGGATGACAGTTTCTATATTCTAATAGTTTTATTTTCTCTGTTGAGATTCACCATCTGTTTATCTATACTTTCTGTTTCTGTCAATTCTTGTACTTATTTAGATAGTTATTTTAAAGTTCATGTTTGTGAGTTACAATATGTAGTTTATCTGTGAGTTTGATGCTTTTGATTTTTTTTCCTTCATTGTGAAGTCCAGTTTTTTCATTTTTCACATAGTGTATAATTGTTATACTGCATATTGGACATTGTGTATAGAAGAACCAGGAAGGTCAGAGTACACTATTGTTTTGCTGTGCTTCCCCAGAGTGTATGAACATTATTTGTGTCTGTTAGTTAAAGTGAGAAATTAATCATTTAAATTGTACTAGTTGTTAAATGACTGAAATCAACCAAATTAAACCTTTAAGATTAAGCTCATTTCTGGCTAGTCCAGTCCAAGACATCCAGTTTTGTGGCTGCAACTTGGTGCTGGCAGCTGCCACTGCTGTGGAACAGCTAGTCTGTTCTATTAGAGCTTGAATGTGGGGTCTAGAGAGGTATTGCCATCACATTTACAGCTCCTGAAACTATTAGAATAAGTGTTAGTTTTTCAAATATGTAAGTTATGTCTGTCTTTCAGTCTCAGCATTATTGCCTTTATTACTTCAGCAAAACTGAAGAGGAGTAAGATCAGCAGAAGTGTTATACCATAAATAAATAAATAAATATATATATAAATAAATAGTATTCCTGCCTGTTTAACAGTTGTCAATATCTTGTGTCATCTCTTCTAAACTGGGTATAGTTTCTGAATTTTTTGAAGGTCTGTCTAGTCCTAGACTTAGTGTTTGCCCAGAGCTGTGGAAGGAAGCTGATTGCCTATAAATATTTTAATGGAAACCAGTTAATCAAGTCTTTCTTGCATCTGCCACTAATAAATAACCCTAAAGACTGGTATAGTTTTCAAATATTTTCCAGTTTTTTCTTGGTGTTACCAGAGGTAAAGTTATTCTTTATCCTTTTATACCAAAACTGAACTCTGGAATATATACATTTGGAATGAGTGTTAATTTCTCAAAGGTGGCCTCTGAAGAGTCTATAGACCCTTATTATGCAGGAGTAAATTTTCCTTTAGACCCAGTCATATTTTCAAGGTAGATATGCTCAGCATATTTATATTCCATAATTTATGAAGCTTTTCCACTAAAAAATAATCCAGATAGTCTACTTTGGAAGAGCAGTCTTGGATCCACTAACAAATAATGATGAAGCAAATATAAATTAAAACCTGTTTCTCAGCATGATGTGTAGTTATGTGGAAAGCAGGGGAAGAGAAGAAAAACTAGTTTTGAACCAAGGGAGATAAAAAAAAATAGTGGACACTCAGATTTTAGTGGCATAACACTACTCTTCAACCAAAAAACCAAGGAAGGTTTCTTAAAGATTGGTAGATATATGGAAGTATGCCAGTGTTTTAGTGAGGAAATATGTAACTACATGGTTGAGGGCATCTGCACTGTGGCATGGGGGTCACTGATGTAGATTCCAGTATAGTTAACCTAAAGGACTGCAATATTGCTAGAATGTATTTCCAGAATTTAACAAAGAGTTAATATTTTTAAATGGTTTTCAAATTACACAGGTAATACATATTTGTGGTAACAGTTAGTATAAAATAGCCCAAAAGTAGCACAAGTTTTATTAAGTCAAATAATATTTACCTCTCATCCTCTGAGCTATTTAATGTTAACAATTTTGTGGATGTCTTGGAACACTTTTCTACCTGCTTACATATACATACACAAGTATTTTATATTTAGAATGTTTAGAGAGAGAAGTTCAAGCTATTTCTTTCAACCGAAATCTGAATGTAGTGCTTACATTTCCTTGCAATATTAAATCATGGAAGTCTGTAACTTGAGAGATAGCTATAAGTTCTGCATGACTTTTATTATGAATTACTATGCTACTTACTTCCTCATTCTGACCCCCCACACTGTCTCTCATTCTGTCCACATAAACCTTCACTTCAGTACCTTCATAATTTATATTAACAACTTGGTGGGTAACCATCTGTACTTTGGCTCATGCTGCTGAACCTCATATGAGCAGATACTCTCACAGTGTTTTAGTTAGATAGATACAAGTGTGCCAAGCTTGTTTTTGTTTTTGTTTTTTCATTTTATTTTTCTTTATAGTGTCACAATAACAATTACTCAGACCCTAGAACTTTCTCTGGACTTCACAATGGACATCTCATTCAACAATACCTTATGGAAAGCAACTCAAAACAAATTTTGAATTATAATTATGTTTTTCATTGTTTCATATTACATAGTGGGACTCTACAATAATTTATGTAACCGTTCTCTTAATTAGTGTGTGATCATTTTGTTTTTATATATTTATAACTACAAATAATTCTGTGATAAAAATTCTTGGATGTAAGTTTTTAGGTACTGGTACTGTTATTTCTGTGGGATAGAAATCTAGGAGTGGGATTGCTAATTATGTGTAAAGTTATTATAGTAGATGTTGCTAGATTTATTTTCCAAAGAACTTAACAATTTGTGTTTTCCACCCACAATGTGAATTGCCATAGATCCCAACCAGCAGTAGGTACTAAAATCCTTTTTTAAACTTTTGTCATTTTGGTACATGTAAAATAAGAGTTCACAGCTATTTTATGGTGTACTTTGCTAACAACTAGGAAGTTTGAGCATTTCTTAACATATCTGTTATTGATTTTTTTCCTTCTGTAACTTACCAATTCAAAGCATTTTATTATTTTTCTACTGTCATTATATTTTTCTTGCCAATTTTTAGGAGTTCATTGTATATGTAGTGAAGATATCTTAATTGTAGATAAGGTATTGTACATTTTTTGTAGACCTGAGTTTGTGGTCTATAAAAAAAACAACAAAAAGAAATACTACACCTATGATTAGGTAGGACATATGAGTGTGCCTGGAACTGTCTTAGTTTGCTCCTGTCTACCCAGTGTATGTCCTGGCTAATGCCCCTTTCTATTCTCAAAAGTTTTCTGGTGTCAACTATGTGGATTACCTCAGATGTAAATAATATTTGAAGGAACTAGAGATGTTCAAACAAGAGAAAATAAAATTCTTGCTTATATATATAACATCTGTATGTGTTTAAAATAAACAGACACACACATGCATATCTACATATACACACAGGCATATTGACACACACACGTATCTATATACCTATTCTTTCTTTTACCATTATAGACCCAATGAACAGAACTAAGCCACTGTTGGAAACACAGGATGATTCCTTATCCTTACTGTAAGGAGAAAATATAATGCTTTCTTTGGGCCACTTTAGGAGATAAGTTCACTGTTTTAGGACATCAATTTTACATTTATATTTGGCGGGGCTAATATTATGGAATAAAGTCTCCCAGAAATCGAGGATGACTTTCGAGTCTATGTTTTATGATTCCATATGACTGGAATAATGGAAGCAACTTTGAAAATAATTAAAAGACATTTGGATATTCTGTAGAGTAAGTGATAGGGATTACAGGCCTTGGAGTATAACAGGGTTCTGATTCTGGCTAGGCTATTTACTTCCTATGTGGGCTTGGGAACATTACCAGACTTCTCTAAGCCTTGAGTTTCATCTTTTGTAAAATGATAATATAGTATTTACTCCATATAGTAATTGTAAGTTTTAAACAAGATTGTGAACGTGAAGTATGTAGTATGCATTTTAATATTTGGTATGTAGTACCCATCAATTTATTACTGAAACACCAGGGGTTTGGTCTAAGTCCTGCTGCTTTCCACATAGAAAGACAATCATGAGACAATGAGAATTCTGTTTATTTAACTGGGTGCTGCAGCTGAGGAGATAGGATATCAGTCTGAAATCCATTTCCCTGATCTACTAAAACTGGGAGTTTATATAGTGAGGAAGGAATATAACTACATGTGGGTAAACAGGAATTAGAGAGTGCTAAGGGAGAGGAGTTGGTCAACAGGAAGCAGGTGGTTGGATAGGCAATCATGATGAGTGAGTGGTCTGGTGTCTCATTGTCCAGATACTGTGATCTGGTAAGTTTCATTTCTTTGATGCTGTGTAGGGGGCCTAAGGGTTGGTTTTCTGAGAAAGGAACTCAGACAAGACAAATGTAATTTTTTCAAGTTTTAAAACTGGGAGGATAAATTTCTATGTTTATTCAAAAGAAACTATAAACTTCAGTTCTATGGGATGATTGAGCCAGTTTCAAATTCATGGGGATTGCTCTTATTAATATCCTTAGCTGCAATGTATTAAGAGTACTTAGTAATATGCCTCACTGGGCATCAGGGCTCTGTGGGTCACTGCTGACATTTTGAATTTTGATCTCTTATAGCAGCCTGCTTCTCATGGGGTCACACAGTAAGAGTAGTTAAAAGAAAGTCTAAAGACTATATTACTCAAAGTTTTCTTAAATCTAGAAGCAAATAATTAAATGAAACAGCAACAAACTTTCTTGTATAAAAACAACTTGGTTTCAGTGTTTTTATATCCCATGCTTAATTGTGTTTGAGGTCATTCCTGAATAACATGAGCTTAGAGATAATCTGTTTTATCATGTCCTCTTCTCTATTTCAGAAAACAACAATAACAACAACAAAAACTCAAGAAACAGGAATGCAAGATCTACGTTTTGTTAAACTAAAGACACCTCTTACTCATAACAATCAGATATGAAAAAGCGCTGCCACGAGGGCAAGAATGATGCTAAGAAAGTCTTTTATGGCTACAAGTCTTGAATCAAGCTGACCGAGCAGTTCTTACACTGAGAAGCAACAACAACCTTTTGTTTCAAGAAACAGGTATGTGTTTCAGGCAGAAACCTTTATAAGATTCTGGTTTTTTTGTCCCATGGGTAACAAGGAAGGAAGAGTAAGTGCACTGGAAATGTGTGATGGAGGAAGCTTTTCTATGTAGGACAATAGCTCTAAATCTCTTTTTAATGAGAAGAAATAAAATTAAAGCATCTTGGACATGCAGACAATCCTATGTTATAACCCAGGGAGAATTCTTGATAGTTTATAATATTACTTTAGTTCCTGTCTAATAATAATGTGAAAAATGCTGATACAGAAAGATTTCTTTGCATTCAAAGACAAGTAATTATCAATAAAGGAGCCAGTACAATTACACTGCATGGAGAAAGGAAGGAAAAGTCAAGATTGAAACGTATGCAAAAATAAATGGAAAAAGAGAACTTATGGAAAAAAATTCTCCGTGATCCAATAAACTGTGATTAAATATATCAGTGTGAATGAGCACAACTCAATGAAACCATCATAAATTCATGGCAGAGAAACAAAAGCTTAGGGAGATACAGTGCAATCACAGACATAGAAATAGCATGAGAAACAGGAGCCAGGGAATACTTAGAGGATAAAAATAAGATAATCTTAGAAAGGAAGTTAACATTGACTGTGACACAGTGACATATATGAAAATAAATATCATGGAAATATAATGACAGTCATAAAAGGCAAGATTGAAAAAAGCATGAGTGAAAAGGAATGGAAATGAACAAATTTTAAAGGGTTTGAAATAAACTGTATGTATGGAAGACAAAGGGTTCTATGTTAAATATAATTAATGTCCCTAAAGAAATAAACCTGACAATTGGAAGGGAAAATAAACATCTAACAACATATTTCAGGGAGAAATTTCACACATAAACAACTTGAATTTATAGGTTCAAATGATAAACCGTGTCTTAGGGAAAAAATTCATGCAGAATGATTAATAGTGAGACAAGCCTGGTAATGATTTTGCCAAATATTAGGAAAATTATTTTTAGTACCTAGGAAAAATAAGCATAACACCAGTGGGGAAATAAAATAGCAGTAAAAGCTATCCTTTTTAAAATACACATTCCATGTAGGATGTGGAGTAATGTCCCCAAATTCCTCAACAAAAATTTCTAAAAATGTTATGCACACTAAATCACCATTCAACTATGAAGGATATATGTATGTAGAATTAAAGGAATGAAATTTCCACAGACTCTTTTTAAAGAAAACTGTTCCTCAGCCAAAGAGGAGAAAACTGAGTAAACAGTGATGAAAAGACAGCTAGCCATCATTGGATTCAGTCCTGAAGGGGAGAGATGGAAACAAATATATGAATTATTCTTATTGAACACAATTTAAATGCCTTCTATGAGGACAATGTAAAAATAATGTAACTAATAAAGAAAGTGAGAGAAAGGAGGGATTAGGAGAGATATGGTATATGGGTAGAGTTCCTCCATTCTTTATAGCCAGGGATTAAACAATATGATTTACAACTGATACATCAAATAGCCAAGCTATAAATATGCTTGGAGATACAAAGTAAATACTGGAACAACAAAGAATAATACAAAATTGAATAGCAAAAAAGTGAGAAAAGATGTGGGAAGAAGTGGAAGTATGCAAATTTTATCATTGTTCACAGTTAAAAACCAATAATTATGCCAAACTATTCCTGGGCACCCTGATTCTGCTCCCACTTCCTAGCTACAATAAAAACCAAATCCAACTTTGCTCCTGCCAGCCAGTTAGACCAGCTTGAACTTGCCTTACTCTCCCCAGAAAGTCCAGTTGTGTAACTAAAAAATCTTTTCATATTATTTTGGTGTACACAGCATCATGGGTCCCAATATACTTTGAATATTTTTAAATGTTTCTGAATATTGAACATTACTAACTATAATGATTACACAATTATATTTTATTTTCTATATTAGCTATTTCTTCAAGGGTTAATTCTTCTGTTCCTTAAACTGGATATTTACAATGCATCTATTGGTTTCCTTATATATTGTAGATTCTTCATTGTCCATCTTTTTTAATGAGGACTTAGAATGAATATTATTGACAGATGGAGCAAGTATCATCTGCATAAGTACAATTTCTTTCTACAGTAATGAATTGAGTTATAATCTTAGAAATCTTCATTCTGATTATTGGGAATGAGAGGGTTGTATGAAATTTTCTGTCAGTTTTCTTTAGGATGTTGAGGCAGTTTACTTTCTTGGTGCATGCTGTACATATACTATTGTGTCCAGAATTAATCTGGGCCTCTGCTTGATTTTATCTCCAGCCCCAACAACTTGTTTGGCAAATCTCATGTCCACTTGCCACCTTACTGCCCAAGGGCAAAAGCTATTGGCAGCTATGCTGAAATCTGATACAACTGGTTTGCAGTTCTTTCACTGCAAACCTAATGACAAAATCAAAATCTACTTGTACTTTTATATCTTGATCACTCTGTTCCTAGGGTGATTATAAGATTTTTGTTTAATAACTCGATATTTAGAAAGTCCTTTTGATCGCTGAGTAGATTTAAGTTCCTATATTTTAATGGGCTTCTTTTAATTCTCTTATGTCTACCTTATATTTTCAGAAATTCTTCCATGTTATACTTGCTAATGACTTGTGTCTCAGCTCTTTATTAGGGCTATAAATATATTTGTACTTTTATTTTCCTTCTGTCAGTCCAATGAGATTTTTAAGAAGAAGAAGAGAAAAGTGCCTCTCAGATTCCTTGAATTGTAAATTTTGACCTTCGTTCTTGTTTTATTATTTTCTCCCTTAAGTTTGCCTACATCTGATCTGTTCCTAGGTTTAACTATTCTTAACTAGGCTCTATTTTTTTAAGACATATTTCTATTCATTAGATTTTATGCAATTATGCTTTGGACATTTTTTTCTTACATAATTTTCATAAACTATAAGGATACAGTCTATCTGAGTCATGCCATAACATTGTGTCCAAGTTTTGAATAACTGTCTTTTTTCCTGGTTGACAAGATGTTTATCATTAAAAGAAATTTGATCACAATTTTATGATATCTAAATATACTCATTTTTTTGAGAACTGATTTGACTTTCAAATTGAAGCAGTGTAACAGAACAACAGAGTTGTAGCACTGACCATACTGGATTATATAATCATACCTTTTCTTCTAAAAATAATTACCAAATACAAAATCTTATTTAGTTAATTCTTACACAACAAACATCTGTATTTTAATTCTACACGTTTTTCTCCATTTTCACACATCCAAGATCCAGCCTAGAGGATGAAATATGATCTACGTTATTATTAGGAAAGAAATCAGAAGTGAAGGTATGAGTCAATGTCATTCCCACAAAAGTCTTCTGAATTAGGGATACTTGAGATGAAACAGGACAAAATTAAGAACGAGAGTAGCTAAAATCAAGAAGTAAAGGGTCTGTACAATAGAAATCAGCATCTCAAATAGGGACCCCAGAAAGCTCAGCATAGATATTAATAGACAGCATGTGGACAGTTGGCAATAGGACAGCCCTTTTCATTAGGCATAAAAGACATATTGTTCCTTTTATAAAAATAATGGGACATTATTGAAACAAATACACATATTATCTCTGAATCCCATAGGATAATTGCATAAAAGGAACCTGGAAAAATTGCTTAAGTCCCTAGAACTTTATTGTTTTTTTTTATTTTATTTTAGGGGACAAGAAAGGAAATGGCAATAGTGGTTTTGGAATCTCCATAGACAATGGGAAGAAGAAATTAATACGACTTGTGACTATTACGGTATGCATTTTTTTTTCCTGACTCATCTTTGCTCTTTTTAATTTCAGTTACAGATTTGTGCTCTGGAAAATAGAAAATACAAATGTAACATTCCTGTCTCATAGTAAATAAGCTCACTAAGTGGAGTCCTGAGCATGACCTCATTTTGGTGGTATCATGACTACTGTCATCCCCACTTTGGCCTTGATCATTTTGGGAGGATCCTGGGAGATCTTCAAAGGGATGTCCATGATTTTTATAAGCACTCATCTAGACACTGTCAGTTTTTAAGTTTTTAGGTAGCACATCAGAATAACACGTTTCTTTCTGAATCTGAAAACCTTCACCTCAGTATGAAAGTACGAAATGCAGTATTTCCACCAGAGAGACAGCTTAAAATAACTTTGGTCATAATCATTTCATGTTACTACTACTTGGTGAGATGTATTATTGATTGTATAGAGCATTATGCCAGAAATCAGAAAGCCTGCACTTCAAAATATGCTTTACTCATTGCCTTCAAAACATTTTCCCCACTTAAATTTCCTCTTTTTTCTCTCTAAAATTATGATACCGATTTTTCTAATGGATTATATAGAATTATAATTATCCATTATTTACTATATAGAAGATGTAGAATGAAGGGAAAACAGCAATTAGAAAATAAGTATATATGGTTTCAATGGAGTTTGTAAAGGTTAAAGTAGAAAAAAGTTTTTGGAAATGTGATGTTTTAAAAATGTGTTTTAGTGGAATGTTCATATCTTAAGTGATTAAATGAAAGGAAAGTCCGTTATATTAAACCTTCAAATTATTTTTAATACATTTGGCTTTAGCTACCTTTTGGATACAACTGAAACTTCTTATAAGCTATTTTCTACTCTCAAAGGCCTCTAATTTGTTGCATTTATTATAATCTATGATTCTTGTTCAATAAATGAGTGATATGTTTGAGTTCATAAATTAACATATTTATTTTGTTAGAAAGCAGGTTTTGATTTTTTAATTTTGTAGGTAAAAGTGATAATGGCGTTTCCACAGGAATAATTTCTATTGTCTAAGAACCGTAGTTTCTTTGCTTGGTAATCCTTCATATATAAGTGACTTGAGTGAGAAGAAAATTAAATGAGAAGCTGAGATGAGTAGAAATTAATGGCTCTGGTACATATACACTATGGAATACTTTTAGTCATAAAAAAGAACAAAATCATACCCTTTGCAGCAACCTGGATGCAGCTGGAGGCCATTGCCCTGAGTGAATTAATGCAGAAACAGAAAACCAAATACTGCATGTTCTCACTCATAAATGGGATTAAGCATTGGGTGCACATGGACACAAAGATGGAAACAACCAACACTAGAGATTACAAAAGGGGTGAAGGAGGAAGGAAGGTGTGGCCTGAAAAAACTACCTGTTAGGTACTATGGTCACTTCCTGAGTAACTGGATCAATTGTACCCCAATCGTCAGCATCACACAATATACCAATGTAACAAACCTGCAAATGTACCTCCTGAATCTAAAATCAAAGTCAAAATTAAAAAAGAAACCACTCCATGCTTAGATTTAGGTATTTTTGCAAAGATTTCATATCGTATTATATATGACTGATAAAATTTATTCTCATTGATTTTAATACATACTTACTGTATATTTGAAAAATGTAGATATTATTAAGGAAAAAATTATACTTCTGTTTAACCAGAAATTACCTTTATTACTGTTTTGTGACTCTCATCCCTTCGTTTTGTTAACTTCATCTCATTACATCTCTGCCTCTTTCCCCTTCTCCATGTACATTTATGTTTATAGCATTGAGATCACACTGAATTAAGATGGTGGTTTTAAGTAAATATAATTTTAATAATGTCATATCTATTCATTACGTGAATGTACTAAAATTTACCTAGATGCTCTTATTGTTGGACATTCAGAATGTTTTATGTTTAATCATGAGGTTTTACATCATTGCTACATGTTCTATGTTGAAAGCCTAAGGATCTCTCTATGGTGACTTGTAAGATTGAACTTTTTTAGGGGTCTTGATGCGTGCTGCCAAATTTTACTGTAAATCTTGCACATTAATTTCTACTTTCATCAATAAATTCAGATATCACACGTTTCCAGAAATTCTATCAAGGCAGAATAATTTCTTTTTTTTCTCTTTGTAATACAGTTAGGAAAAAAGAGCACTCATGATTTATTTTTTCAATTTTTTTGATTATTAGTGAAATGAGTATTTCCTTATATAGTCAACATTTATTTTTATCATATATTAAGTAATATCAAATATTTTCATTAACATAACAAATTTTGATTATCGATTTATAGATGCTTGATTTGCGTATTGTGACATTTGCCTATTTGTTACTGCACTACTTTAAAAACTTTCTTAACAGTGCAACTGGTAATCCTGTCACTGTATGTTTGTGTATATATAAATATATTATATATATATAATGCATATATACACATATATAATATATACATATTATATATAATATATACATACTATATGTATATATACATATATGTATAATGTGTATATGTATACATTATATATATATATATATATAAAATGTGTGTGTGTGTGTGTGTTTCTGTTTCCTTCAGATTATTGTTTGTACTTAAATTTCAAGATTATTTTAATGGATAGAAATGAGAAATTTTTGGTAGTAAATTATATATTCTTTTTTGAAGATTTTTGGCCTACCTCAAGTTTTGAAAATCTTTCCTCACTGCAAGATTATGTGCATCTACTTTTGTTTAATTTGTACTTTTATGTTTTAATTTTGACATTTCAATTTTTAATACATATGGACTTAAATGTTCGTAACTGCTTTTCCTATGTGAGTAACAAATTGTCCTGAAATCTTTATATGGATCATTTCTACTGAGTTACATTGTCACTTTTACCAAATATAGTAACTAGAGCTTTGTAGATACTCTAAACCTTAGAACATCTCTTGAATCTAAACCATTTTATTGGTGTCTGTGTCTATAGTCCTAAACCCTATAGAGGAAAGTTCTAGAAAATCACAGCCTTCTAGTGACTTTGCTTCTCATCTACCTGATGACAACCAAGCTGAACACATCACTGTTCCTGCTACAAGAATGCAAAACCACTCTGTGACCCTTATTCTGAACATGATCTTTCCTTTTTCCACATTCCCTTGGCAGCCTTGGTACCAGTAGCCTTGTATCTATTTTCAACTTCTCATTCAAGCCAAATGATTACCTATATTTTCAGGAGTTCTGGTATTTCCTCATCTACCAAATATTTTAACCCACACACAGATTTGAACGGATAACCAATATGTTGTTCTAAGAACACCACTCATTATAGCATAAGCTTCCAAAATTACTTCATTTGCAGTGATTTTGCTCCTGCAGTTATTCTCTTTGGTCTGCTGTTACCTTTCTCTCCCTCTCTCCTAGTTTGTTCCCATAATACCAGTAGCATAACCAATAGTTTCATATTTATAAAAATAACAAGCAACCAACAAAATAACCTGTTCAACTCATATTTTATTGCAGCTATTACTACATATTGGTACTCCATTTTTCTCAAAAAACAACAAAAATAAATCTAAAAGTATGGTTTATATTCACTGTTTATAAGTCATCACTTAAGGTCCCTCCTTAGCTAACTCTAACTGGGACTCTGTCCCGCAACTTTCCTGAACTGCTGTAGTCAAGGCATATCAGGTTGTCATGGTTCTCTTTTTGTTTTACTTGACTTCTGAGCAATGTTAATTATCATTGACAATTCTTCTTTAAGACACTTTCTTTTATTTTTTACTTTTTAAACTTTTTAATTTTTATGGATGCATAGTAGGTGAATATATTTGGGGTATTTGAGATATTTTGATACAAGCTTAGCATGTGTAGTAATCAGGGTAAATGGGGTATCCATCAACTCAAGCATTCATCATTTCTTTGTGTTATGAAGATTCCAGTTGTCCTCCCTCAATTATTCTAAAACTGTACAACAAATTATTGCTGACTACAGTCACCCTGTTGTGCTATCAAATACTGGATGTTACTCATTGTATCTAACTATATTTTCATACTCATTAACCTTTTCCATTTCCTTCCCTCTTCCCACTACCCTCCTGAGCCTCTGGTAACCATCATTCTACTCTCTATCTCCATGAGTTTAGTTGTTTTAATTTTTAGCTCCTACAAATGAGTGAGAACATGCAAAGTTTGTCTTTCTGTGTGTGGCTTATTTCACTTAAAAATGTTCTCCAGTTCGATCCATGTTGCCAGTGACAGAATCTCTCTCTCTCTCTGTCTCTCTTTTGGCTGAATAGTACTCCATTGTGTTTATACAGATTTAGGGCTATAAGTACAGTTTTGTTACATAAATATTGTGTACAGGTATTGATCGACTTACAACCTATGCAACTTACGACCATTCGACTTTACGACCACAATCGCTAGCCATGACTGCTCCGCGTCTGGCAGTGCAAACGTTGCCCAGCTGGGTGTACGACAGTACGGACCAGCTTCCGGCAGCACTATCATCTCCGCGTGCGTATAGCCTACTCAACTTATGACCAAATTGTGTTACGACTGGCCTGTTGGAACCAATCGTGGTCGTAAGTCGAGTAGTGAAGTCTGAGCTTTTGGTGTAGCCATCTCCCAAATAGTGTATGTTGTATCCACTAAATTATTTCTTATCCCTCACCCACCTCCCACCCTGCTACCTCCAGTCTTTTACTTCACATTCTATATACCTGTGTATATTTCTTCTTGATTTCCTCCTACTGTAAATATATAAATTCTCCAGGCTCTCCGTGGCCTCTTTTCTTTTACTACTCTGATTATGATTATATAGTTTTAAACATGCATCCAGCTATCCTTCTCTGTATCATGGTTCTGAAATATTTATATCCTGCCATAAATTCTTTGCAGAAGTCTGAACACATTTATTCAGTAATTGCCCTCCTTGGTTCTCCCTGGGGCTGATTAATAGTTATCTTAAATTATATATGTTCTGTTTTTATTTTTATTTTTTATTGTATTTTAAATTCTTGGGTACATGTGCAGATCTTGCAGGATTGTTGCATAGGTACACACATGCCATGGTGGTTTGCTGCCTCCATCCCCCTGTCACCTACATCAGGCATTTCTCCCAATGTTATCCCTCCTCAACCTCCCCACCCCCCATCGTCCTTCCCCTAGCCCCTCAACCCCAAACAGACCCCAGTATGTGATGTTCCCCTCCCTGTGCCCATGTGTTCTCATTGTTCAACACCCACCTGTGAGTGAGAACATGTGGTATTTGGTTTTCTGTTCTTGTGTCAGCTTGCTGAGAATGATGGTTTCCAGATTTATCCACGTCCCTACAAAGGACATGAACTCATCCTTTTTCATGGCTGAATAATATTCCATGGTGTATATGTGCCACATTTTCTTTGTCCAGTCTATCATTGATGGGCATTTGGGTTGGTTCCTGGTCTTTGCTATTGTACACAGAATATTCTCGTCTCTTCCTAACCAAGTTCTCTCATTTCCTAATCTGCACGCTCTCAATAGTGAAACTACCCTCTACTTAGTTGCACAAACTGATTCCTTTCTTCTTCTTACCACTTATGAACAGTTAGCTCACTAGAATTCTTCTTGATCTTACTGACCCATTCTCTTTTTAAATGTAAATTAGATCTTGTTATTACCCTTGTAAAACCTTGCATCTGATACTTAAAATCTAGGCAAATCTCAATTGTGGAATATTTTACAAATAAAACAAATTTCTCTAGGAGTAAAGAAGCAAATAAATGGGATAGAATAACTCACTGAACTTGCAAAAACTGTTCACATAGTAATATAGCTTAATTTTACTTTTTTGTATCTATCTGTTACTTTTCTATCATCTTGCTTTAGTCATATTTTTGTTGCTTTTTTCAGGATATTGATATCAATCCTTAAGTACATTGTGACTAAAAAATATTCTTTGAAACAATTGCTAATCATATATTAAGGTTCTTTCCTCTTAGTAATCAGGAAACAAACTTGATTTATTACAATGTCTGTTTCTGAATTTATTAGTTATAGGTAATGGACAGTCACACAAACCAGCTTCATAATTTTCTTATTAGAAAATTATACGAATATGGGAGTAGCTCAGAAAACAGGCTGTTTTTGCACCTTTGTGACAAAGGTAGTTAGGCCTAGACATTAGATCGTACCAAAACCAAATAATTTTTCTTGCTTTCTTACTATGCCCTAGGTGTTTCTCTCTCTCTTTCCCTCTCCTCTCCCCTCCCTCTTTCCCTTATCCCTCCCTTCGCCCTCCCTCGCACACCTCTTGTTTGTGTTCTGAAGATATGTGTATTTGTACCTCTGTTTTGTAGTGCACAGTTGCTTTTTTATTCCATCTCTGTAGGACTGACTTTTCTTGCCTCCCATGCAAAAGGCAGAAATCATTGTACAGACAATTTTGACAGCAGTTTCAAGTTATAAAGACCAAACAGACAGTAGCTAGTGTCTTTCAGTTCTGATTTCAATCTGAAGCAGAGGAGAATCTGTTTGGCCCTGCATGCATCAGCTGTCCAACTCTTGAGTAATCAACCATGGCAAACAAAGTGGGATAACTGGCCTGTTGCCCACTTAGTGAGAGCGGGTTCTCTGAGATAGAGTTCGTGGCTGGCTAAGAGATAATAGGCACCTCTAATTTCTCCTAAACAAAAGGCAACTGAAATAAAAGTACCTTGTATTTATCTAAAAATAAATGATAATCAAAGAAACCAAGACATTCAAGAACATGAGAAAATAAACCAATTCAAATAAAAACAATCACAACAGTAACAATTCCTAATTTCCATTGAGGAAAATTTAGTAATGTCTATCAAAATGTAAAAATGCCATCCTTTGATAAATATTTAATTTGCAGGAAATATATCCTAGATATATTTTTATTGGACAAGTGCCTATTTTGCATATATTAATTAAAATATTGATGCAAGATCAATAGGTGGAAAACAACCTAAATGTTATCAGTAAGCATCTGGTTAACTTGCAGTACAACAATAAAATTGTTTATTAAATAATCAGGAAAAATGATGAGGTTAGAAGTATATGAATTGATGTTAAAATGTCTTCAAAGTATGTATTAAGAGAAAAAGAGGAAGCCATATTATAATATAAATATTAGGGCTCCATTTCTGTAGGAAAAAATTCAGTCATGCAAAGTAAGTTCCTTGAAAGAGCAAGACAGTAGTGACATAATGATAAAATAGTCCCCATCACATTAATGCTTTCAAAAAACGGACATCAGATCTTTACTTTCCTTCACTTGGGTGAAAATATTTCATGGATCTAAGAGCTTCTTCTGTCATTTTCTGGTTGTCAAAAATATAGTACAAAATAATGTTAATACTTAAAACTTAATTTTGATATAAAAACATAAAGCTTATGCCCACAGTGCACAATTGGGCATGGCCAGTGTTTCTCTATTCATTTTCTTTCCAGGAAGACACCTACAACCAGCTTCTTGATTTTCAACTCATTTCTTTTCCTTCTGAACCCCAGCTTCACAATGTCCATGTTAGTCAAGTTCTCTAGGAACTTTTCTTGGACTCTCTTTACTTGTGCAGGTAAATAAAGGGTACAGTGGTGATGGTGGTAATGTGGCTTTTGTACTCCTGTAGTTCTCTGGGCAGGAATATTGCAGCTCTTCTACTCCAGCCACCTATAGCTTGGTGAGCAGGAGCATTATAGCTCCTTCTTTCTCACAGTTCAGTGAGTTCCAGGTTCTTGTCCTGCATGCAAGAGGAATAAGGTACATGGAAACCAGAGTGGGTAAGGCAAAGTAGGATTTATTGAGTAAAAGAAAGGCTCTCAACAGTGAGAGGGGACCTGAAAGTGGGGAGAATTAGCCATCTGTGAGGCTGAGTTCAGGGTTTTTATGGGCCTACAATGGGGAAGTGTGTGCTGATTGGTTTGTAGGTGGGCTTGGAAAAGGCACTATTCAATTGGTTAAAAGGCATTATTCAGAAAGAACCAATTGAGAGAGAGTGGGTAAGACAGGAGTGGAAGCTCTCACTCTGTTCCATGGATTCTATCTGGAACTCGTGGAAAACTGGAAGCTTCATTTTCAGACTTTAGACCATACTTAGCTTGAAGGTTGAGTTTTACCAAGGACCCGCTCCTGTCTACCTAGGAATTTGTGTGTCTCTTGTCACTATCAGTGGGGAAGTATGGGGAGATATTTCTAATGCCTCTATTTAAATTAATTATTTCTATCGTACTGCCTTTTGACTTCTCCCTAAAACTCATGATATGTCTATTGATTTTTTACCAAGATCATAATATATGGCCTGCTATATTGTTGTCAGTCTTTAATGCCTGTCTTATATAATAGTTTTAAAATATTATAATAGTAAACATACAGCACACAAGCATATAGATTTACATGTTTTTGTATAGAAGAGATATTTCTGGGAGGATGATAAGGAAACTAGAATTACTGATTATATCAGAAAGGTATGTGAAACTGGAGTATTCTTATATATTATTTTGGTCCTTAAAAAATGTGTCAAGTGGCCGGGCGCGGTGGCTCAAGCCTGTAATCCCAGCACTTTGGGAGGCCGAGGCGGGTGGATCACGAGGTCAAGAGATCGAGACCATCCTGGTCAACATGGTGAAACCCCGTCTCTACTAAAACTACAAAAAATTAGCTGGGCATGGTGGCGCGTGCCTGTAATCCCAGATACTCAGGAGGCTGAGGCAGGAGAATTGCCTGAACCCAGGAGGCGGAGCTTGCGGTGAGCCGAGATCGCGCCATTGCACTCCAGCCTGGGTAACAAGAGCGAAACTCCGTCTCAAAAAAAAAAAAAAAAAAAAAAAAAAAATGTGTCAAGCATGATGTTGCACACCTATAATTTCAGCTCCTCAGGAGCCGGAGGTGGATCACTTGAATCCAGGAGTTCAAGACCAGCCTGTGCAACATAGGAAGATCCCATTTCAAGAAAATAAAGTATTAATATTCACATACCCTTCTCAATTACAAATTAAATGAACTTGTACTAAATTATATTTCAGTGTACCAACACTACAGTTGACTTAGTTTTCATACTCATCAGTATAACCAGCTTGGAATTTTTAAAAAGTACTTTTAAAAGTGCAATATAAATCTATAGATTAATCGCCAAAACCTAAGTGATCCTTTACACACACACACAAACACATACACACTCATGCACACACATACATGCAAGGAATTCTGTTTGAGTTATTTTACTTAGTAACAGCCACAAATAGATGTCTGATTGTTCTAGCTAGCTGGGACTTCCAGTACTATGATGAATAACAGAGGTGAAAGCGGGCATCCTTGTCATGCTCCAGATCTGAGAAAAGGCTTTTCATTTTTCCCGCTTTGTGTGCACTAGCTATGGG